CCAAGTGTTCAAGTTTTTATTACATTCCAAATTGGAACAACACCTTAAACCTCAGAACTTAATGAGAATGGGAATATTCTGGTTCGGGAACATACTAGCACAGCCAGGCCTCTCCACCTACCAACACAACTCATGGGGAAAGGGACACAGCCAGCTGACAGTGGGCGGGAAGGACGGAAATCTGGATCCAGACTCACAAGGGAAAGCCATGCTTGGAGCTGGGAGGACACTCAGGACAGCTGAGGGATTCAGGAGAGCCAGGAAGCCTGCAGCCCAAAGGGGCATGGGATCTGGAGGGCCTTGATGGCCACACTCTGCAGCAGACAAGCTGCTAAGGGTATGCAAAACTCGAGGCCATGGAAGCCATGGTAAGCTTCTCACCTGGGAGCAGGGCCTCCTGGCACTCCTGCAAGGTACCACCAGCCTCTGGAGCTGCCTGCACCATCTGGCCAGGCAGCAGGCAGACATCACACCCCACCTAGCAGGCAGGGCAGGGTAGAGGCACACCTTTCTAGCTTTACATCAGAATTTAGTCAAGATCCTCTCGGTCTTCAGAGGTTTGAACTTTCTAACAGAGACAGTGTCCTGTTAGAACATCTGCTGACAAGTCTCCAGCTCCGAAGGAAAAGGAAAACCCTCTATTAAAACATGGGAGTCATCGAATGGTTGCTGTCTGGCAGGTTGCTCTCAAGTTTCAGATAAGCACTCTGTTCTTGGGCTAAGTATGTCACTCAGAAATGAATACAAACTAGTAACCAAGTACTGGCAGTCTTCAACTAAAAAGTCAAACAAAACTGTGGCCCAAATGTTAAAGGCATCGTAAAGCAGCGCTGTTCCTTCTTGCTGCTTTGAGATCTTAGTTTTACATTACTGGCAACCTGAAGTGTTCCAAGATCTTGCGCTGGGCTCTCCAAAAAAATTTTTTTGACTAAAAATCAGAACGGTTTAAAAAACAACATTTGGCCTCTGTTTTGTTTGCCTTCTAATTTTGGAACTTGTAGTGCTCATGGTTTCAGATTTTGCCTGGAAATCTGAGAGCTGGAAGTTTACATTTTGAAGAAATGAAAGCTGGCATTTTTGTCATCACATGACTCCAAGAGCTGGGGCTTAAGGAAAAAACATAAAACACTGACAGGCTTTCCACAAAATTGTGAGATTAGCAGCATCAGTTTTATCACAATTGAGGCTGCAAGGTTGACCTATTTTATCAATAGTGTCCTCCTGAATATGAATTGCTTTATGAATTTTAACAACCATATTTAATTTTAAATATAGTTCAATTAAAGTGACATTCATCACTGAACTTCAAAGCAAACTATTCAATTGTCAACCTGAGCTAGACTTCCCCTCTGAGCAAGTGGAAAGTGTAAACTGCATCACCCCAAAACACTCTGCACGTCAGAGACACGCCTTACGGCAGAACACCACACACGCTCATTGCCTGTCCTGGGGACTCAGCACAGCATCATGAAAAAGGAGCATCTAGCCTTCAAGTTTCTTTCACTCTCTACCCATCTGATGGGACAGCTACAGAGGCTCCAGACTTCACCATGTTCTACAGCAAGGACATTAAGAAGGGGATTGAGGCCTCACAAAAGAAGATGGGAGGTGACATTGAGAGTTCCCTTGAGGCCTTGAAGGACAAAACTAGATTCAGTGCAAGAACTTGCTGAGCCATGCTTGGTGTCTGCATGCTCCTTCCTCAGTCTGTTCTACAGCTGCAAATCACTACGGAGCTGTTCTGAAACACAACCTGAGACTTTTGGGGCTGTTGATACTCCAGAGTTAACAGGACAGAACACACATTACAATTTCTTTTCTAGTAAAATAGCAAGACTGAGTTTGCAGGAGAGAAAACCCTCGAATACTCAGCAGGCAGAAACTGGCAAAGCAAAAACCTTTTCAATACACAGACACATGAACAGAAAGCAGTGTGCATGGGAGAATGCATTCCAAAATGGCATCAAATAAGGTGGGGGGAGGTTTAGTTAATTATTCAGAGAAACTCAAACCTCTTCACAAATTAGGTCTACAACATCCTGAAAGGAAGGACAAAACCAGAAACAAACAAACAAACAAAAAACAAACCAATCCCCCTAAAAAAAACCCCAAACATTTGCCAAAACACAAAATCCTGTCTAGATTACATTTTAGCATTTGGGGTCATATAGATTCTTAACATACAGATTCTTAAATCTATAACTTTCCTCCAGTTTAGCATTATCTCTTTATTTAACTCTCTATATGAAGACAAGCTGTTTGTCTTCTGCATTGGTGACACCTCCTTCCAGTTAATTCAGAAAAGATGGACTTGAAAAAGACATAATGTCAATTAGAGACGCACATGCCAGGTACATTTTTCTAAGCTCGAGTAGCTAACACATCTTTCTTCAGCGTCACAGAAGTGGATAGTTTAATTGAGCTATAGTTACACTCAGCATTTGCAGTCCTCTAAGGAGGAGAGACACGTTGCAGCCTCCCCCTGCTTATGTATTGTGTGTGTATCGGCGACTGTACGCTGAGGTAAGGAGAGAGGGAACTGTTTCCAAGTTAGCGCACTTAGAGAAAGGAGTCATAAATCATGGGGTCAGTCAGGTTGTGCTTTTTTTTTTTAACCTTAGGGTATTATGTTTTCAATACAATATTTCAATAGCTTTTTTTCTGTGTAATAATTTATCCAGAATTATGGCAACTCTTACAAGCTTAGGAAAAAATTGGCTCAAGTAAAACGAACCCTTTGTCATAAATAGGTTGTGTTCATAACTGCAGCCTAATCATTCAATTGCACATAAGTCAAATAGTTATCCAGACTTTGTAGGAATATTTCCCTGTCAATAAATCTAACGCTATTTAAAAACTCCGGGCCAGTGTGACAAAAGCCTGTTAGATGAATTAGGGCAAGGTCAGAAAAGCTGAACTCACAGCTACATTCATGTCACAGTTTTGTTCCACCTACCATAACCTGATTGTAAACTCACAGACCATTTTAAACACGAGCACGTTAGGGTGACTTCATTGTCTCCATCTATACACAAAGGCAGGTTTCTTCAGGAATTGTTTCTTCTCTCTGACAACACTCAACTAAGCATGCAACTGAGCAGAAATGTTTTGCTTTGGATTCATTGTCAACAAGGGGTTCTTTATTTTTAAATGTTTCTCCCTATCAGTGACTTCACAGTCATTGGACTGCAACCAGGGTTCATGAGAGTACAAGACCATACAGACCACGGAACTGTCGAGAGGCAGACAGTGTAATCCAAATTTCACTATAAACAGATCATCTCTGTGGGAATGAGAGGACAGTATTGTCTCTCTGCCTGTTCAATTCTTGACCTTTATCACGTGACCATCCAAAAGGAGGGTACCCCAAATCTGATGGGTTTTTGTGAAGTAGACCCTGACCTTGGCAGGGTCAATATTTCATCTGAAATCCCTTGAGACAGGCCTCCAAATCATTTCTTAGGCTTGCAGCTTGTATCAGATGGTAGCTAGCTGACTTTCATTTACTACTGACTTAGGTCAAACTTGGACCAGGGATCAAGAGATGAAAGACTCCATATCTCATTATCAATAATCAGTGTTCTCCACTACTCTAAAAACAACATACTTCATTCTTATCTACGAGGCCTTAAAACTTAAAAGGGTTGGGGTCAAATTATGTTACTTCAATTTATTTTTATTCACTGCTCATAAAACAACTTCCTCTCTCACTGCCATAGCTAAATGCTAAAAATGTAAATAGTTTCCTTGCTATTGTAGAGGTTCTACTGCTGGTTTTCTTTTAAAGCCTTCTTAAAGATACAGCAATAAAGAAGAATCTTGCCCACAGACAAATTTTAAGAAGAAAAAAAAAAATAGAGTACAGAGGTCAAGGCCAAGACAGGTCTTAACAATCCCAAAATTATTTTCAGTAAATCACATCTTGTATCTAAGTTGCCTTATAACAGAGGCATGGACCTTGCCCAGAAGTTTTTCATAGTTACACAAGTCCTGATACTGACAGAATATCCTCTGAAATAACAAAGCCAGTTTTTTTTCTAGTGTTAAGTCATGCAACTCTTCTCATTTTGCTGGAATAAAGTTTTCTTAGACCAGTTATGGATATGGCCTATAATTTTAGGCAACTAACTCTGAAACATTAATGAGAAGCTTTGGAAGGGAAACCCTTTTGTTACTGAACAAATAGAACACAGCATCTACTTCCACAGCGACCTGCAATGCTCTATACAGAATTGCATACTTAAACAGACAATTTTACCATGATTCTCAGTATCTGCAAAATGTCAAATCCCTGCTTTGTTCATGGGCAAACTGATTTGCATTATTCCCAAAATAGGGATACGCATATATGCACATGTAAGAAAAGTAATGAAATACAGCTAATGGCATTAAAGAAACTTGTGAATACTTTACAGAAAAAAAGAGGTTAAATAAAGTTTACTGGTTACACTGGGTTAACAACTTTTTTCTACTACTAAGAGTAAACCAGCAGATACCTAGGACCCACACAGTTTCTTTTCTGAACCTAAACAATCTTTTGACCAGTTTCTCATTCAGACAATACTCCTCCCAAAGTGTTGAAAATTTCTGGTCTTCCAACACCTGGGGCAGAGGGAAGGAGGGACAGTTGATTACTGATCACTGAAGAGAACTGCTTCTGCAAAACCTCAAAACCAGAGATCCACTGCAATCTAACTCTTGTGGCAACACTTTTGCCCTCCTGATCTACAGTTGAAAGAGGATTTGGTCCTGTAAACCTTTTCTCACATGACCAGCTCCTCTCACATCTGCTTCCTGATCCCAACAAGAGCAGTGTTAATCATACAAGGCCTTCCAGAAACTGACCTTTTTGCTTAATGTCAGGTTACATCCTCATGTGTTTCCAAAAATAAGATGTAAACCATCTGCAAAGATTCTTAAAGAAACTATGACAACAATGTCTGAAGGAAAG